GTTAGTTGGAAATGGAAAATCGTTTCTATTTTTGAGCAGGTGCCAAATGCTGATTTGCCTGCCTGCCAGCCAGCCAGGCTGCTTGTCTTTTGGCCGTCTGGCTGGGCCACTGTCTGCTGAGGACTCAATTGCAGTGCTGCATGCAAAAGTTTGGCTATGCAAAATGACAGCAACGATTAATCTTTAATCTTTATGAAAGCCAAAGTTTTCTCAATGCATTTGACCATTTTTCATTTAGTTGTAGCATCAGCTGACATTGCTAATGTGTTAATATTATTGCATTCAAAGGCTTATCGACTATTTTATTTAAGTACGTAACAAAAATGTTACAAGGAATGATAAATTAAAAGCTATCCCATTGGGGCAAACTAAGCAAATGGATAACAAAAACACATTTCTATGTTGAATTTGTGTTTTTTGCTGTAACATTTAACATTACTTAAATGCACTCAGGGGGCATTTTCTCGTTTATACTCACTTACTTACTAAACTGCAACTGCAACAAAATAATTAAGGATGTTTTGTGGTTGCCCCAAAAAATATGCTTCACATTTTTCAAATTCAAATTATGACACTGACTTGCTTCGCTTGCGCCCCATTAAGTGTGCTACAGTTTCCAATTGATATTAATTCAAGGAAATATGAAGGCCGCCAGGAAAATAATGATGTCGCAGAATTTATATTGGCGCACAACGGAATTGACAAACTAAGCAATGTCGCTGGAGGAAATGTATTATTCAAAATATATATTTGTGATTAACTGTATATATTTATATATAGTTTTCCGGTTGGAAAATATAGTCAACATTTTTGTTGATTGTTTTGCAGCGTTTGCGTTTCGTTACGCTTTTCAACTTAATTAAGAAATCCAATTAACATCATTGGCATTGGCTGTCCCAGAATATGCGCAATTTGTTTTGTTTTATGTTGGCAACACACACACACACACACACACACGAACAGAAGCACATAGATGGCAACACGAATGTCTGTTGGTATTGGTTAGCTTTTGGCTTTTCTGCATATGTTGAGACTGTGGCAGGATCTGTGTCGCCGTTGCCGCCATTGATAACACGCCTCCCACTTTGTCATTGCGTGTGGCCCAATATGTATGTGTGTGTGCGTGTGTGTGTGTGTGTGTGTGTGTGTGAATGTGTGTGTGTGTGGAACACGCAACGCTCAAAACAATAACAAACGATGACAAGCAACAAACTTAACAACAGCAGCAGAAACCGCCGCTGCTTTTCTTGTTTTCCCATTCAATTTCTGTGTTTGTTAGTGGGCGTGCCAACAACAGATAATCAACAAAGCGATACACACACACACAACACACACATACAACGCCACCTGATCAGCTTTATGCTATGCCGCGAAAAGAACCCATTACGAATTCTATTCGTAATCTATACGAATCCATACCACAACTCATCTTACTTTGCCCATAAGCATACGCAATTTGATGACCTTTTCTACGATAACATAGCATTTTAAATATAAACATATAAACATATTTTATTTATCACTACTCAAATATAGTATAACCGATAAGAAAACAAACACTTAACGACGCGTCTGTCCAAACTAGAATAACCAGAATAATAATATTCAGATGAGAGACTGAAAAGAGAGAGAAGCGCACAGCTTTTGTTGCTGACACTGATACTTTCGCGAAGACAATTTCGTGCTTGACTAAGAAGCTTCAAAATACAGTTCTGCACACAAGAATGAACTCCATTGTGTGTATACAGAATGCAAGGATCGATAAAGAGTAATGGGGTCATTCACTAGCTGGCTGCTGGGAACGCTATAGGTTGAGATTGCGAGAGCGCCAAATAATTGAGCAGTGGCAGCGGTCTGTCATTCATTTTGTCTGTTGAAATTCAAAGGTGAGAACTGCTGGTGTACAATGGATTGTCAAAATTAATTGAAAAAAAAAAAATAAACAACAATTTTGGCGATGAATTGCACACTGAGTAAATTCGCAAGGACGCGAAGGGAAGCGAAAGGTATACAAAAAAATCTGAATGTTATTGTTACCCGACAACTTTTTGGTTTCTTTATCGCGGCAAGCAAGTCTTTAATTTTCATAGCAGTTGATTGTTATCGATTGAGCATTTATTTCGTTTCAAATTTTGTGTCAACAATGAGCCACAAAAGCTATAAGAACAACAACAAGAACAACAGGCTAAGCCTGTCACAGCATTGAGCTTCGAGCTTTACTCTGCCATTTCTACTCAACTCAACTCAACTCAACTGAGCTTAACTCATCCGCATGGCCAAAGTCAAAGTTAAACTTTGCACAGCTTTGCTTTCAGCTCGCTCTCGCTCTCTTTCTCTCTCGTTCTCTCTCTTTTGCTCTCTCTCGCTGTTATTAGCATAAACAGCAGCAGCAGCAACAACAATGAGAACAACAACCACAGCAGCCTACACATTAAAGCAAATCTACTTACCATTAAACCAATTCTATTTAGAAGTGCGAGGGGGCGCAGGGGCAGGGGTAGGTGGGGAGTAGATAGTAAAGGCGCTGGCTTTTGTGAGCATTTTCATTAGGGGCGCACAAAATGCGAAAGGCAAACTGATTAAGGCCTCAATTGAAAGGCGCATATGTAGTAAGTGCACAAGAGCGAGATGCAAGAGCATAAGTACACACGCACATAAGCAGCAGGTATGCATGTGTGCGTGTGTCTGTGTGAGTGTGAGTGTGTGTGTAGGCAGTCAAAGATAGACAAGTAAGCAAAGAAGCAAAAGGCGGCAAGCTAAAGAGCATGGCAAAGCTCAAGCATCAACAAACAGGCACGTAACGGGTCTTTTGGGAGGTGCGTGGTGGGGGGTTATGCTGAATTTTATAAGCAAATATTTGGATTTAACGGGGTAATGCGAGTACATATGTGTGCCTGTCTGTCTGTGTGTGTGCCTATGCTTAATTTAAAGTAAATTTGTAGTAGAAGGCAGCACTGTCTATGTTTATTTGTCTGTGTGTGAAAGTTTAGCACTTTTTAGTGCTCGTGCTTATGACATGCAAAAAAGAAAAAAAAATATAAAGAAAAGCTAAAACGAGAAAACCGCACCCAAGTTGAGATTACTTATCTTTAGTTTTCATTTAAATATGAAGTGTGTGTATGTGTTTGTGTGTGGTGTACTTTCATTTATTTGCTCGCTTTTGGTTTTCTTTCAACTTGTACTTTCTTTATTTGCCTTTTTACTTTCTTTTTCGTTTTTCGTTTTTTTTGTTTTTGTTTTTTTTTTAGTGTTTTAGCATTTTTCCCTTTGCACACAGACATTTTTCCATACTTCTCCACTTCCCGTCGTATTGTGTCCTCACCCGCTGAAACCAGCTCCTTTGTGCGTCTAGGTATTTTGGTATTTCCTGATTCCACAAAGGACAAGAAGCAAATTCACACGCACACATATATATATATATATATATGTACACACATACATATATAAACTATACACATATATAGAGAAAGGCTGTATATATCTGCGCTTTCAATTCCGGTTTCATTTTGAGTTACTTGGCCAGCCAAATAATTGGATGAGATGACTTGAAAACCAGATAACAGAAAGTTATATATATATATATGAATATATATATACATATATCTATGAGTGTGATGACGATGATGACGTCATTTTTGTGCCCATACATGCGTCAAAGCAAGCTAACCATGCTTTCAGCCATGTGACTACTGGGCGTTTTGGGCGTGGCTCTAATATGAAGCTGGATGCCCAAGTTATGAGATTGTGGCTGATAAAAAGGATTAGGGTCCTGATGATGCTGCCATTGCTGTCACTCCTGCTGCTGATGCTGCTGCTCCTCTGGCTTCAATTGAGCCAATTATGATGACCAAATTAAATGCCATAGTCTCTCTGTATGTGTGTGTGTGTGTGTGTGAGTGATTTTGTGTAATTGTGTACAGCTGTAGAGAGTAATATATATGTCAGATAATTCATTTCAGATCTTTTATGCTGAACAATTTCAAAAATTACCATCTGATATGGATCTACTATTTTTTTATAAGAAACACACACAACAACTGTGTTTCAAATGAAGATCATACGACTTTATAATCAATCAATGAGAATCCGGGGTTCGAGTCCCCGGCTAATGTCTGGATGTTGTTATAATGGCTTAGCCAAACGACCGATATTGTTAGATTGATAGGTGGGTTTTATATAACCATGTATACATATATCCCATACGATATATATATATATATATAATATTGATAATAACAATAACAATCATCATCATTAAAAGGCTTCAAAGTAACCATGGAGGAGATGCAGGTAGGTTCATAATGTTCTTTGAGCAGAACATTAAGAGCTGATTACATTTGCATAAGAAGCCAATAGAGAATAGATATAAAACTATGCAAATCAAAATATCAAATAAGAAAGCAACTCAACTAATAGTTTAATAGCGAACAAGTCAATTTCTTGCCTCACATTAAGACTAAAGATATACATTATTTAAGATATATACAAAAAAATCAATGATTTTCTTTCTCCAAAATTAAAGAAATTACAATTATTTTAATCATACGACAATCAACGCTAAAGTAACCCAAGAAAACACTAAAACATTCTAGAATTTGCACAAAAGCTAACTTATAAGTTTGGTCACCGAACTCACGTGTAATGCTTGCCTAATTCGTGATTTAATTAGCTAAATACTCATATGATTATAATGGTAATGTATGTTAACTGATAATTTCACACGAATTTTTGGACGTAGCACACACGCACAAAACAAACTAACAACAACAACAAAAAAATAAACTCCTAATATACACACCCACCTAGAAAAACACCTTGCAACCAGCTGACCACTTAGTGAGATTTGTTTATTTAATAATGCCACATAGATAAGTTATATACTGCTCTCTCTCTCTCTCTATATATATATATACATATATATATAAAATATATATATGTATATATGTGTAATATATGTATATAATATATATATATATATATATGAATATATGTTTTTTTAGCTCCGCAAGCCAGCGTCGACACTTTCAATTCCTGGCTCGATGAAAACACCTTCTATTGCGAACCGGGAACAGATCGCATCTGGATGCAACGAAGAAGCGTCCGAGGCACTAGTGGGTATCCACTCAGACTACCCTAGGTATGAAATGTATGTATACCAATCGCCAATCCGTCACTTTCCCCACATAAAAGCGCATTCCGCTGAACCTAATTCAATCAATAAACACGCATACTATATATACACAGTGAGAAAAAATCAGCCACACTTTCGATCAACGAAAATTGCTCAAGTCGTTTTTAATATCTTGACAAAGTATTTCATTTTCTGTAAAGACTCAATATAACTGAATATTGTCAAAAAAAAAGTTGTTTCAAACCAGTGAATCAAGGCGAATAAAGTTTGGTATCCGTTTCTAAGTTTCCATCGCTTAATTTAAAGTTGAATTATTCGATTCACCTTTAAATCGGTGAATATCGAATTTCGATTAACGAACTATTCAAAATTTCTGTATTTTCTGTACTCACTCGAAGTCATTCGATACTAATATCTATTTGAATATCTTCTGTGCTTGCTTTAAGATTTCTTTCTGCTCGGCTTGAGTAAATCTTTGTTAGTGTCTTAATAAATGTGTATACTTAATATGAGTGATAACTGCCCTTTTTCTGACTGTGTATGTAATCAATAAACAAGCCAACATTCTATTACCAATTCATGTGCCCACTAGAAGCAACAACAAGAACAACCACATCAACGACCACAAATCCACACACAAACTCACACAATTTAGATAATGCCTTAGAAGTCGAACTAGACACAACAAAAAAATTTGACTAATTGCCATGGGCCATAATTAGCTGTCAGCACCAGAAAGGCAGATTATAAATGTCATTACATAAGTATATCCTTCATGAAAGAGAGTGTGTTTGGTCACCGAACTAATCTCAACAAAGCTCAAAGTTAATATGCATAAAGTTTTGCAACTTAAGTACGGCCATCTGAGCGTATACGCAATAAATTCCTATTGAGTTTTTGATGACCATTCAATTTGGTGCCGCAATAAATACTTATATATATATATATATATATATATATATTAAAAAGTCAATATAGCTAGAGAGATGTCGTTGTGTGTGCGTGTCCATGTCAATGCAGAAGTAAATCTATTTAAGTGCCAACAAAGTACAACATTTTTGTTGCAATAACGTTCGATTTGGCACAGTTCAGCATTCTTAATACCCTGCACAACAGAAAGTTGGGGTATCTTGCGTTTTCTAAATGGTTATATCAAAAGTGAATCTGTGGCAGCTGAATACAATACAAAAGAAATTACAGGATATATGATAGTTGAGCATTCAGATTTATTGTATTCCAATAGGTTGAAGGAAGGACAGTTTTCGTTTCTTGTTTTCAATTCTCAGCAAAATTAGCCCACACACACACAAACACATACACAAACACATGTGAGTGTGTATCTGTATCTTGTGAATACACAAATTGATGTGACACAAATTTTCATGAGACAGCAGCTGACAACAACAACAACAACAATAACAAAAACATAAACCTGCCATCCATTAGTTGAAGATTTATTAAGCAATGTGCCGTCAGAGCCAATTCGCCAAATATAGTTAATGGCAAATCTGTCATAGTCTTAGCCATCAAGAGTAGTTAGTTAGTTAGTTAGTAAGTTAGTTAGTTAGTTAGTTCTATATGGTGGTTGGGGCGGGGGGTGGTGAGTGGGGCACAATTGAGTGTTGGCTTGCGGCTAGTTTGGTCAATTAGCATTGAGAACACAACTGCCTCCCTTGTTTTGCAGGTATATGGAGGAACGGGCGCTTACTGGTGGCAATACGTCCAGGAAGCCATCGACAAACTCAGCCAAACACAAACCCAATGTGGGCTATCGCCTGGGCAAGAGAAAAGCTTTATTCGAGAAGCGCAAACGCATCAGCGACTATGCCCTCGTCATGGGCATGTTCGGCATCATCGTGATGGTGATTGAAAACGAGCTGAGCAGTGCCGGAGTCTACACAAAGGTAAGCGCTTACTCTCAATCCTCTCCCATCGAAGTACATATAATAATATATAATATAATATAATAACTCGTTCTCGTTTAATTATGACTGACACTTCTTGCTAATGACGAGTCAAATGTTTATAACGATAGGATATTTAGCTGGTTACTCGTTACTTGTTACTCGTTTCGAACAACTAATGAAGAGTGATGATTTCTTGCAAATATTTTCCCACTATCAATGAGCACTAATAATTCGTCCATAATAATGATGAACTGCGAATCGTTACTCTTGAACGTCTTATTGATGACTGCTACTTACTAATCACCACTGATGATTTTCCTCTTGCTGTCTACAAATGATATGAAATTTAATACTGAATGAAGTAAGAAGAGCCTTTATGCTGTACCGTTAAGGGGTATCGTGATTAAGTTCCAGTTCCAGTTCCGGTTTTGGGTTTGACACCCTTCTTTGTGAGAAATGATTGCAACGGCTGATCGACTATGAAATTAATAATTACGAGTCACATTTAACGATAAGTGTTATTATAGCTTCTACTCGGTAACAATTTCGTATTGTTTTGATATCGTTACAGGCATCGTTTTACTCGACAGCGTTAAAAACCTTAATATCTGTTTCGACTGTGATTCTTTTAGGACTTATAGTAGCTTACCATGCTTTGGAAGTGCAGGTGAGAGTGAGTGAAAATTGTATCTTTCTCTTGCAGATGTTATTGATGGTCGTCATCGTTATTGTTTAACGTTGCCATCGTTATTTTCCCCCCTCCCCGCTCACTAATATGACCTAACCCCTGCCCGCCCGTATCCGTAACCGTAACCAGTAATTAACTAACCGCATCATCGTTTAGTATCCTAATAAAAAAAAAACTATATAAAAAAATGCCCTCCTCCAATCACTGTCCTGCATCTAAAACTACTCTATAGCCAGCTCCAGCCGTAGAGGACAACACCTCATTGCAGTTTTGTTTGTTGTACTATTCTTTGTGTGTTCTTTTTGTCTGTTCTTAAAAAAAAAATAATATAAAATAAAATAAACACAAGATTGCCCGTAGCTTCAAAATGAGAGAATGCCAAAATGAACAGAGTATTGCACTTTGTTCTGCGCCTATCGTTATCGTTACCGTTACCCGTTACTGTTATCGTTATCGTTATGCATGCATTCAGCTAGCGAATACAGAACGCAACTGTACACACAAAGTGTAAGACTTTGTTCATGTTGATGTCGTTATATATATATATATATATCAAAATATAAATATACATTTTAATTGTGTTTCCTGCCTAGCGAAATTCCGATAAAACTAACAACCAAAAATGCAGTTAATAAAATTCCATTTCCGTCATTCCGTGTGTCCCATATAGTCTGATTATAGTTTGAAAAGCTATCTGACTATCGACTATCGTGGAGAGATCTCCACTTACAATGATTATGATGTTCAGATCTCGTTGATTCCTTGTACTTCCAAACAAACATCAGCCACATCAACTCAAATCATTGAAAGTTTCGACATTTTGTAAATATGTAATCATCCAAAAACTATACATAAAACAGCTCATCACGTTATGTTACTTCTCAAAACAACTTTCGACTCTATTCACCCACTCTATTGATATACATATATATACATATATATATATATAATGTTATGTAGGAGCTAAATCAGGGAGTTCAATTGAAATTAGTATAAACATTTTTCAGTCTGAAAAACCATGTTAGTGAAAACTATTTCGGAATACTTACTTTTAATTGGGTTATCATCCAAACATATATACTACATACGTAATTCTTTCATGAGCTTTCAAATAACAGTTGCATGTACAGCACTATAATTTATTTGATTTACAACTTCCCACTCCTTAAATCAAACCTCTCCGACTAACTCACTCACGAAACCAGCCTGAAACCCGAACCGAACCACAGTGTTCTCCCCCCATCCCCTCCTTCTCAACTTGCCTATTTTTTTAGTTTACAAATTAGCAAATACCAACAACCACATGTATTAAAATGTTCGCATGAGTAATAGTAATATATAATTTGAAAACAAAGATAATAAAAAAACAAAAACAAAAACAAAAACAAAAACAATGCAAAGTAGAGCATGGGAGACGTACTACTAATTTGTTATACCCTATTTATATTTATATTGCTATCTTCATATGCGTTTTCAATTTCGATTTCGTATGAAACATAACATAATAAACAATTATACATAACATCACGGTACATTGCACAAAACTACTCGATTTATAATCTATCCCAATAATGTTAATTACTATTCTAATTATTATTCAAAAAGTTAAGTAAGGCAAGCTAAAATATATGAAATATTCTCAATTAGATGCGTGTCGCTCATAAAAAACGAAAATATGAATGAATATAAAAGTAAAAGTAAGACTAAATGAAAAGAATCTGTGATGTTCCATTTGCGGCATAGAAATGAGAAAGTCCTGTGAGTCCTGTGTTCAGTGTCAATTACATTTATACATATGCATATAATAGAAATAGACAATTGAAATGATATAGAAGAAAAGAATCACCGCTCAATCTACAAAATATACCAATTAACTCACTTGCATACCCATTTTTCGTCCATGAATCAGAATTCAGAACACATTTCTTGAATGTTCCCATCATCCAAATGCAAGACCAATATCAATCAATCAATCAATCAATCAGTCAGTCAGTCAAATCAAAACAAATCAACTCAAATCAAAATCAAACGAACTCAGTCAGTTAATCAGAATCAGTTTTATGTTTATACATACAGATATATATATATATATATATATATATATATTGTACTCATATATATGGTGTATATATTTATATATATATATATATATATATATATATGGTATATTTAGTATGTATATGGATATATATATATATATACATATATCAGTTCAACATACCGTCGTCGCTCATATTCGTAATCTTCATACTTTGTTCTCCACTACTATATAAATCCGATTAAATGTTAATCCCCCCATTTATAATGTTGATGTTTAAAGTAAATTTTTAATATGTAATTACCTTCCAATTATGCTTTGCAGAATTCAGTAAGTAATATTTATACTATACATCATGAATATTTGTGAGTAATTCCTAAACACATAGTGTTATGTACCCCATACATACTATATATGGTTAAACAATATAAAAAATAAAAAAAAAAAAAACAAAAAACAACATCATTCCAACATAGAGTAGCTTGACAACAACAACAACAACAATTACAGCCACAACAGGCACATTACAACAACAACATTAAAAACAACAATACAACACACAGAATTATCATAATATGGATCTACACAGAATACGGCATACATACATACCATTTACTTAATACTATAAAAGTTCCAAACAATATACATATATATGAAACAGGGTGTCAAAGCGAAACCCGAACCGAGTTCAGAACCGGAATCGGAACCAAAAATCAAACATTCCTAATGCATCAGTAACTGGCATTAGCTTTAACCAAATTAACATGGCCGTACAGTAAAACTTTGGTTTTGTACTGGGATGTAACTGTAACGTGTGGTATAAATACCCATCCAAAAATAACCAAAAATAATTTGGAAATTCGTTCGACACCCTGATACAATATATACAAACGTAACTAACAACACACAATATTTAATATACATTTACATAACTCTGAGACAATTCAATCTTAATCTTGGCTTTACTATTTTGGTTACGAAAACCATCCATCCAATCAAAATTCTACGATTGCATTTATGATCCTAAATATGTATGTATATAAGGTATGTGCATTTGTGTTTGTGTAATTGCTAAAGATATGTTTTTTATATGGTTAATCAAGCTTGACAACAAGAACAATTACAACCACAACAATATATATAATATGAATATTATTATATTGCCTCTTTTGGGAATTGATTTACATTTATGGCATTTATAAAATTTGTATTCTTCAAAGTATATATATTGAGCAAACTGACCAAATACAATTATATACAATTTGAAATGATGCCGAAGGTCAATCAATATTTTCAGTTAAGTTTTTGATTGAGTTATAGAACAAATTCGGCTATGCAAACGAAACTAATATAATATATTGTCTCTAAACGCTATTTCCACTCAATTTGTTTCGAATAAAAGGAATACAAATATTCTATATATTGAAACACACTGGCACTCGTTGCTCTCAAAGTCGACGAAATTGCCAAAATTCTAGCTGAATGCAGCTGACTAAAATCAGATTGTGGCTTGGCTTACACAAGATGTAATTAAACTGATTCGTCAATTCAAACTAATGCAAAGCCTTAGGACAGTTACATATGTATCTATGTATGTATATTTGTTGTATGTAAATTGGAAGGTACACACACACACACACACAAAACACAGATACTCACAGATACATATATATATGAGCATTCTCATTGATAAGTCGATTCGAAATGAACATCAATCATTTAATTCACCAAGATTTGAACGGTGCTTCAATTTTGCAAGAGCAAACAAAACACTAAACTATTCACAGGACTTTGGGCAGCAAAAATGTTGTGTGTACTGCACTATTCGAAACTCTTATATTCTTGATAATCGGTCTATATATCCATAATGCAGCAATACTCAGTTTCAATATTTATTTATTCGATTAATCGGCTTAACTTGCGAATGACTCATATCAATATATATAATATATACTACTAACAATACTCGTAGCTATCCGTTAACAACAATCGTATCCAACTCAGTCCTGTACAACAACACACGGCATATTTCAGCTGCTACTTATACTACTACTACTATTGCTACTATTAATTATACAACTACTACTACTGCTGCTGCCACTAATAATTCAGTTACTGCTACTACTAATAACACTAGTACTACTAATGCTACTACGACCACTATTACTATTAATACTACTACGACTACTACTTACCACTACTACTACTATTAATACAACTACGACTACTACTACTTACCACTACTACTACTATTAATACTACTACGACTACTACTTACTTCTACTACTATTTCTACGACTACTACTTACTACTACTACTACTTACTTCTACTACTATTTCTACGACTACTACTTACTACTACTACTACTTACTTCTACTACTATTTCTACGACTACTACTTACTACTACTACTACTTACTACTACTTCTACTTACTGCTACTACTACTACTTACTACTCAACTGCCATATAATACTACTACTATACTACCATATACTCAATAGCAGCAAAGTGTTTTGCCCCCCTTTTCCCCCTCACGCACCATTCGCCACATTCACAAAATGTGATTTGTATACAATGTGAGTAGTGTAGTAAAATACTTAGTATGCGTATCCTAGATACATATGTGCTTTTAAGTGTTAGTGTTGTTCACAACTGTATTCCTAAGTAAATGCTAAACATGCCAACTATGAAGATTATTAATGCTAACCAGCTGAAGGACACAGTAGCCGTGCTGTAACCCCCTTTTAACCTGGACTTTTCAGTTTATAACTGCAGTTTTGCTGTATTTTATAATAATAATAGTAATAATAATAATTAATGCTGATCTTAAAATTGTGTGAAATTTCTATTTGATTTGAGACGATTGATTCGTAGTATTTTACCATAAGTATATATTTCCCTACATATCTGTACATTTCTTTAATGAAATGCCCCAAAAACTATGGGAAAACCCTACATAAATATATTAAGATATTTATGTAGAATCGCTTCAGAGATTGGTTGAAACTTTGTAGATTTAATTAAATTTTAGACAGAGCCCTTAATATGAACTTAGTAATTTTAAATGTGGAAATTTGTGAAAACATCAATATTAAATTATTTGCAATAAATCAATTTTTCTTCTAATTGATTAAATAAAAAATTCTCAAAATTGTGAATTGTAAAAATTTAAAAACAAATGTCAGACGCAATTCAAAATCAAATATAACTCAATGCAGTTCCTTAAGGTAGTTATGGAGATGTGAAGTATGCAAAGTATATAGTGATGATACATATATAAATCCTATATAAATGTTGAGTGAACTGCCGTAATTGAAACTGAAAAAAGAGATTTTAAGAGCTCGAGTTCAGCTGCACTCAGTTAATAGTTAATAGGAAAAGAAAAGAAAAAGCAAAGAATCAAGTGACTATCCCCAAAGGCGAATTCTGAGTCAAGTGAATGATTTGGCTTAATTCCAAAATTGATTTGAGCCAATAAAATACAAAAAGGTAAACAACAAAATGGCAAATTACGAAAAAAAAAATGATTGAATAAAGAGAATATGTGCTAACAACACGAGCACACGCACGCCGCCAACCTAATCAGTAAGTACTTTGCACACACACAAGCACACACACACACACACACCGACACAGACACACAGACACAGACACACACTCACACGTATACAAAATTAGTTACATATAGTGTGGCTTGTGTTAGCTATCTATCACCATCACCGACCGATAAGCCGATAACCGATGACCAAAACACAAGAAAAAAAAAAGAAAACAAACAATCGGTGCAGTCAACAGCAGCAGTCGGCAGCAAGAACGAAGTCGCAATGGAATAAGCGGATAATCAGGAGAAGAGAATACAGCAGCAACAGCAGAAGCAGAAGCAGAAGCAGGTTATGAAATCGCTATCGTTATCGATAACCAATGTTAGACTACTACAACATAAAACCAGTGAAGGTCTCGCTTACACCGCCCCATCTCTCGCTATGCTATGCTTAAAAAACAACAACAACATCAACAACAACAGCGACACCTGCTGCACACTCACACATGCACGTCCACACACACACACACACACACACACACACACACACACACACACACTCACACACACACACATACACACACACACTCTGGCACATACATATTCACATTTAGCTATAGACATATACGCATATGTACACCTCATTGACGTTGTACTTGTCAAATAATTCATGCTCGTATTTGGGTGTATTTTCATTTTGTTTAGTCGCAAATAACAAATCAATAAAATGCCAATTATATTTAATAATTGTTTTTTTCTCTCTATTTCTCTTTTTCTCCTGTGTTCCCGCCATGTCTACCCATTAAAACGCAATACCGAAAACCTATCAACTAATTATCAACAAAAACAACACAACAAAAAAAAAATAAATAAATAAAAAATACAACCAAAAACCACCACTTAAAATAAATAAACAAAAAAACACCCCACAATGAAAATAACCACAATAATAAATTGATATAAATGGCAAACCAAACAAAAAAATGATTTAAAACAAAAAACGCCCGAAACCATAGTTATTCATGATAGATAACTGCGCCGACGATTGGAGGATCGCAATGACATGGCAACGAATTAGTCAAATAGGGTTAGAACTTTTTATATGCGCTATACATCCAATTCCTGGCGAATACTATTTCCAGTGGACGACAAAATTGGCCAATAAAAATAAAACAATTGGCACCGAAATGGTGCCATACGACGTAGCTTTATCACTACCTATGTTCCTTCGATTATATTTAATCTGCCGTGTTATGCTGCTTCATTCAAAGCTATTCACAGACGCATCATCACGGAGCATCGGCGCTCTCAATAGGATTAATTTTAACACAAGGTAAATTATATCCACCTAAGCACATAATACAGATAAGCATGTTATCAAGCTCAAGCGATAAAAACAATGTGACAAATTGGCTAAATATGACATAGTATTTGATTTGAGTAACTTCTCGCATTTCTTCTTGCTTCTCGCTTTTTCGATTTGGCAATTCTTAATGTTATTCGATATTAATGTTGTCTTCTGCCCATCGAATTTTCTAGGTTTGTTTTAAAAACACTGATGACAATATGCCCGGGAACGGTTCTATTGGTCTTTATGGTCTCGCTATGGATCATCGCATCTTGGACATTGCGGCAATGCGAAAGGTAATGCAATTATCTTATAATATACGAAAACAAAAAAAATACTTATGAT